TAATTACTTCAATAATATCTTTATGCTTATATTAATTTCGTGATGATTTCCTTTTAATGAAAATATATAAGAAATCTTAAACAAACATAAGGATTTTAATTGCTTAATAATTTTTATTAACTTTCATTTATTCCATTCTCATTTTATAATATTATCTTAAATATAATAATATGATATAATATGATATAATAATTATGATTGATACTATTTCATTTCTTAAATTTATTATTGAAGTATTTATTTTTTTATTTTATCATAAAAACACAAAGAATAATAGGTAATAGATAGATAAAACAAAGAGAAAAATCTGTCAATTGATTAAAAACATTTAATTAATTGATTAAGAACAATTATTCTCATTTATTTAATAGATCCTTTATATTCTAAGAATTTAAATGAAACAATATTTTCTAATAATGTATCGGTTCATTAGATTTCATTTTATATAATTAATCTGTAATACAAGTAACCTAGATAGCTAATTATCAAAATTTTTTTAGATTTATGATTGTCTCATCACTTTCATTATTTTTTATAGAATGAAAATGATGATATTAGCGAAACAATAAGAAAAATTCATGAACAATATTCTTTTTAATTATATTTATATTTCTACATTGTTCAAATTCATTCAATTATGATTCTGTTTGGATCCAATAATTGTACAAAAATTATAACTAATAATTAACTAAAAATAATGCTAATTACAAATCAGAAATCATATTATGGCAATAACTATGCAACAGCCACTTAACTAAACACTTATGTGAATGAAAACATAACCTATAAACATAACTACTAAAAATTTTCTTCTTCCAACGAATCATTGCCGCGCTCCATCTTTGGAACTCAACTCGGCAGAACATAAGAACGTATCTGTGAGAAAAGAGAAGCCGTAAGAGGTCTGAGCGTGCGTTACGCAAGAAAATACGCTTTCACAAGCCGCGATAAGCGTCACTTTAGCGGCGGGTGTCCTTTTGTCCAGCCGACAGCGCGGAATTGGCCACCGTCCTGCGCCGCGGTTTCTCGGCCATCTTAATGACTGATGCAAATACGCGTCGTTAGGCCTTGTTGGGCTCGTTTCGCTTCTATTTGTCTTTATAGCCCCGGCGTCGGCCATCTTGCGTCCTCTTTGCCATGCCACTACCGCAGACAGTGGCCGAGTGATTTGTTTTTCGCGCCAGTTTGATGAGATTTCCCGCGCCTGCTCCGATGCTCGTTCCAGAGAGCTCGTTTGCGATGATGATGATGGTGATTTAATGGGTATCTTATTGTTTGTTTAGGAGGGGTACGTTGGAAATAGGTATGATGAAGCGCGTAGATTGGTTTTTAAAAAGGTCGTAAAGAAATTTATCGTGGTACATTGCGGATGGTAGAGTAATTGTACGCTGTGCTAGGATACTGCGTGTGATTTGTAATATATGTACCCTGTTGTAGAGGGTCTTGAGTTATTTCAATATCGATGGTCTTTGGAATTTTTACTGGATTTTTTTTTTCTGTCCGGTAATTTGTCCTTTCAAAACAAGATTATAATTTCTTCATTTTTATAATGACTTAAGATAATGATCTAATAAGTTGATTGAAGTTATCTTGTAATGGAATTATTGGAAAAATATTAATCTAGAATACGAAATTCATATTATTTTCGTAAGTAATTTTCATTCTCAAACGAGAAGAAATATTTTTTTAATTTAAAAAAAGAAAAATCATATTCTATTAAAATTTCAATAGATCTATATCTACTTCATTATTTTAATAGGTGTAATTTTAAAATCTTACTATATAAACTTGTAATTCTTTTTATGAATCAGAAATCATAGGAAAAAATACAACTTTTTATTATTACAATTTTGATTAATTCCAATAACTTTTTTTTCTACTAGTTCCATTAAAATCGTTTTTAATCGCAATAAGATGAAAGTTCACAGCCTTTGATTGAAATAAAGCGAAATAATATGAAAGTTCTTCGTTTCAATGCTAGGGTTAACAAGACTTTTGCACGCGAGCTAATTAAAATGTCGCCTAGATCATTTATTTTTATTGGAAATCCAGGACATCTCATTGCAACTAAAAAATGATATTTTCAATCGAGGGTAACAACAACTAAAATAATTATCTTGTGCTTTCCTCATTTATATATCCACGGATTTAATTATAGAAATAGAAAGATTTCTTTATATGATTTTATTCTGTCTTTACAATTAGATTATTATAATGAGGATTTATGTATTTTAATGTGTTTTATTATAACTCGATTATAGAAAACCTTGGAAAAGTTTTGTATTAATTTTTTGCAAATAATAGCATACTTGTAATGTGTTTAATATATTTGTTTTTAACATATATATGAGGTAATAGAAATTCTAGTTGAACTTGTTCTACTAAAGATTTCAATTGATGTATCAAGCTATTCTATAAATCAAGCATCTTGTAACTATAAATTTGATCATAACTTAGCATAATGTAAAATATAGATGCATTGTGAATGCAATATGAATGTCTTTTTCATATGATTGCAATCTATGAATAATTACGATTGTAATCATTATTAATACACTACAATGTATTGTGTATTTATACATTGTTACTCTATGTCACGTGTATCTCATAATTTCAGTATTGTATGAGTATCATATTAACAAATAATTAAAATTATTTTTTATTTAATATTAATCTTATGAATTCATATTTTTTTTTGATATTTCATTATAATTAATGAAACGAATCAAAATTGAAGTTAGAACAACTGAGAAAACAGAGTATATAGAGTAAGTGATTAAAATCAATATTCTAATTAATATTCTGTAATATTTTTATAAAAATATCAAGATAGTATGAATTTTTATACGTGATTTAAAACACATGTAAAAATTATTAAACAGAGTAAATAGATAAGACTCACGTGGATAATTCATATGTTCGAGTTTTCGATTTATATGCTGATTGATCAAAAATACTTGGAATTCTCAACAATGTGGAAACTTTTAGTTTCGCAGTCGCAAGTTCAAACGAGTTCGTTCGAATGTTTTGTGCAATCGTGGATCGAAGCGAAATTCGAGAGCTATTGCAATTACGAAATATCGAACACGGAAATCACGATCTCTTCCTGTTTTCGTAAGAAGGAAAACAAAATTTTTAAGGTTATTATACTTTTTAACGCGATAACACGAGTTTGTTGGAAAATGAAAGTTCGAAGGATTTATTATGGCAAGCTTATCTTGATCGAATTTAAATATTTGAATTAAAGATTAAAATAAATTCAACATAAAATTAATTTCAACTATTGGCAAGATAAATTTCTTAGATAGTATATATATTCAAAATCTTTTGATGATTTTTAAAAAATTGTTTTTCACTGAAAATATTTATCAAGTCTTTACAATATTCATAAATATTATTGGAAAAAGAAGAATTTTTTTTTTTTTTTAGATTAAATGCATTGTGTAAATCCCTTTGATAATTATCTCTCTATATTTTATGTCAATATTACAAACTACCTTGAGTTATCAAATTGCACATTATCAATCATATATTCTTTTAATATCTTTACGACAAACTTATTTTAATAAATATTACTTACCTGTGTTTAAAATTCCATGACTTATGAACAAGAATGTACATAAACATCTTTCATAATTATTTTCCGATATTTCCATCTAATAATACGCAAAAAAAAAAAAAAAAAAAAAAAAAAAAAAAAAAAAAAAAAAAAAAAAAAAAAAAAAAGAAAAAATATCGTTAAGGAAATTACGTAACAATGACAAAACAAGCTTAGAATTACAAAAACAAAGGATACAGCCGCGGTTAATTCTTTCAGTTTCACGCAAGCCACTTCGGTCGCCATTTATCTCGCTAAAATTGCGTAATTAACGTTCCATGATACGTTCCATCCATCCCGCTCGATCTTCCTCGTGCAATGTTGTCCAATTCGTGATTCGAGAAAATGTGAATTCGTTTCCAGGAACGAGATGAATAATTTTTACCATTCATTACTGGAACTTGAATCATCGTTCGATCGATATTTTTCAAACGCGAGTAAATTTAAATTCGTAAAGATGATTATGTCACCTGTGTTTATCGATGATGGCACTCGAGACGAAATTTTCTTCAATTAAATTGTGAATTTTGAACATTATTATGCAATTATAATCGAAAGGCTTGGAATATTTTTGATTTGATTAAAAATTAAAATAAAATCGAATCGTTGAAGAAAACTTATCCGTGAAAAAGAAGGAGCCGTGGTAAAGTTTTCAGAACAACTCGTCCAAATATTCCTTCTCGGAATACTCAGTCAAAGGGTTAAAGCTTCTCTTAAAAACCAACTGACATAAGAACGCAATAAACTTGTCCACAATTTTCCACTAGTTTTCCACGAGTCTGAAACATGGTCTACCATCAGGGATCGTAAATTGCCGACAGAACAAAAACAAGGCATGTCAAGTTCCACTGATGTAGGATCGCGAACATACTAATTATCGTGGCTAGACCGCGAATTAGGGGCGTAAGGCTAAACGAGAGGATCGTCGTTGCGACGACATACGCCGTCGAGACGTGTTATCGTCGGCCTCGATCTCTTCATCTCTTCCTCTCCTCGTGTCCACAGGAAGATGCAAGAAGATTTTTATTACAACACGTGTACAAATTACGTGTACAATATATCTTTTTGCGCGTACAAAGTAGAATTTTCCATTCGTCATCGAGAATTCGGATATTCTGGACTATGTTACGTTTTCACAAAATTACTTGTTGATCGAGAACGTAATAATCACGTTATTAAATTGCTTAATAATCCTCGATTCGTTCTCTCTCAAAAACGTACATATCCATTATTACACGTTGTACAAAAATATCTTCGAAACAAAAAATAATCAATGATTACTGAAACTGGCCACGAATGAAGTAATTAAGAGATTAAAATTAATCTATCGTTGGAAGTTTACAGCTAACCTGTGAAATAAATAAATTAACGGATAAATCTATCACAAACACACTGTAACAAAATGGCGAGAAGGAAAGAGGCGGTGCTCCAAGTCGAGATAGAGGACGAGGAGGATTGGGCACAATTGTTGGAAAAGAAAGGTTTGATACTCGCCGACGTTTTCTCGTCGTGGTGCGGCCCGTGCATCGCGATGGTGAGCATGCTTCGAAGCGTGAAAATGGAAGTTGGTGAAGCGATCAGCTACGCGATCGTGAAGAACGATCACATCAGCGATCTCGAACGATTCCGCGAAAGAAGCGAGCCGGTCTGGATGTTCCTCGAAAATGGTCAAATGGTCAATTTGATGTTCGGCGCCAACTGTCCCCAGCTTCGAAAACTGATAATGTCCGAGATCAAACGTGTCGAGTACAAGGAAGAGCCGGAAATGCAGCAACCTGTCAGCACTAGGACCGCGGAGGAAGAGGTTGCGTGGCAGGAGAAGGAGGCCATCAGGTATTCTTGAAACTTTGCCACGATATAGTCAGTCAGTATTCGTATTCTACGTTACATAAATTTTTTTTTTTTTTCATTTTTAACTCTGCGAATTATATGTAATTATATGTAATAATTGATTTCAGATATTTAAGGAAATCAAAAAAGTTTCGATACTTTTTTAAGTACCCTTGTGTTAATATAACTTTTTACATATCTTCGTATTTTTTCCCAGTGAATTTGGTTTTAATGATCTAATAAAATATTTCTGGACTGAAAAAAAAATTAAACAATTAGTTAAGAGTTACTTTTCTCGTCAATTAGTTAAGAGTAACGTAGGATAATAAAACACTTGACTGACTGTATTATCTGTGAGCATAGTTAGTGGAGTTCAAAAATGGATGGAAAATTAAATAAAACAAGAAAAGCGATCGAGGAACGCGAACGTGCCAAGGAGGAGGCCGAGCGGCTTGAGAAGTACGAGGCGTTCTTGGCTCAGATGATATTCGAGCTGAGCGAGTTCACCGCCCTGGTTTTCTATCCGTGGGTGTTCAAAGACGAGCAGGGACGGCACAGGGACAAGTATCAGTGCCCTCCGTATCTTGAATTGGTCAATACACTGTTCAAACAGAACTACGACGTGCTAGAGGAGATGCGAATACAGTTAACCGAGGAAATAATCGAGAAGATGTTCGTCGAGAGCAACGAGGAGATTACCAAGGCTATTGTAGCAGGTGTGCATCTTTTCGAGCTGAAAAAAATTTCAAAATTTATGTGCATACTGATGGAACGTCTATTATCCGAATCGACGTCGAAATGAACATTCTTTTATATTATATAAAAGAATACGTAACTCGTGAGAGAGATTACATTACAATAATGATAATTAATGGTCAGAATATCCTAATTTGTCTACGTGTTCGCGGATAATCGAAGTGATTATTAGATAATCGACGTTCTGATTTGATGGAATAAAACGAGATGGAAATCTTGTGGATGGAACGATAATTATATTCAAATTATTTGTACGTAATAAGTGCAGGATTGACCGATGGTAGAACGATAGCGATGAGACTGAAAGGTAGACGGCCTCATCCCGATTGGCCCGTGGCCTTTCCCTTCGAGTGCCCTAAGGGGGTTAAAAGGTGCCCTACACGAGAGATCAACGATGTAGAGAATTATCTGATACATTTGTTAACCAGCAAAGAGCCACTGCTTCAGGGTAATGCTGTTCCTTTCAATACAAATGATTCCTACATGGAGAGGCACGTGTACGTTCACGAGCCTGATCCTGAGGACGAGGAGGATTTTCCTCGCACCCATCCCGCTGTTTGGGTACCCCCTCAGGTATTCCTTGAATTTAACACACTCGTTCTTTTAAACCTTCTCTTAAGATTAAGACCGATTAATAGATCATTATTAAAAAGATTTTAAGAATTTTATTTTTTGGTATCTATGTATCTCAGATATTATAATCTAAGAAATTCTAATTTTTTTAATAGAATATTTCAAAATTTCAGAAATCAGAAGAAAATTAACACGTTTGAATTTTATTCCGTTTCATTAAGTTTTGTTTCTTATTCAAGGAAATGAAACACGGTTAAAAAACGATTTTTCGGAATAATTATTGATTATTCAGGCCCGAAGCAAAGTGCACGTGTACACAAGCCTCTTCGCCAGTTATATGGAATTGGTCCATCCTTACGAGGAACCTGTACCGCCTCCTCCATTCTGCGCCTTCAAATTCTATTATTCAAAGTTCCCCATTCTTAGTGAGACGTGTGCCCTTTTCCCGGACGCTATCGAATATTTTGGTGCATTCGAATTCGATGCTCCGCCAATCGCAAGGCGAATAGCATCGTCCCCTGAAGACTTCGAGAGAAAGGTTCCTTTATTTCTCTTTTAAAAAATATACAGGATATTAATATAATAATGCTTAATAATATGTCAATAGGAGGATCTAGAAATCAAAACAAAACTTAATATACAAAAATATTGGTCGAATTTTATTTATATATAATTATAAGTAATTTAAATTTCCATTAAATAGAGGTAAAGTAGAGATAGAATGATGATGTGAAGTCTGTTTTATTTTCGTATATTAACACCCTGTATATTAGATGAAACAGTCAAAATATTCATTTATCTCATATATATATATTTTTTTTTTCTTGTATTTGATATAAATAACTGATTAAATGGAAAAATATTAACAAAGGCCAAGTATCAAACTGGGAACGAGATATTCGTAATAATTCTCCGGCGGGTGAGCGAAGATGCTTTCCTGTCATTTGCCAGCATTGAGCCGTACTTCATCACGGAGGATCATGAAAAAGCAGAAGCGATGATAGACGAATACTTCCCTGAGGGTGCTGAAGACGCGATCCTCGAGTTATACTTCGAAGAAGAGATCGAAGAGGAAGAAGAATATTATGAAGAAGAAGAAGAAGAGCATGACATAGAGATCCGAAAAGAAGAAGAAGTATTTGCTACCTATGAGTTTATGTGAATTTGGTATTTTTTTTCATCTTTATATTTCCTTTTTGTTGGTTTTATATATGATGCCAGTTCTAGTCTAAGAATATTTTTTATAAATATTGAAATAATTTGATCGTAATAATATATTCAATTATCTGCATATTTCATATATTTTAAATAAGTATTATGTCTAATACTATTTTTTTAATTTTGACTCATTAATAGACATAAACAAAAAAATCAACAAAAACATTTATTAAGTTTTTTCTCTAGCAATGGTCTTTGATCCCGAAATTTTAGCTTGGTCAGTAATCGGTCAAAAATGTCTACTAACGCAAATAATTAAAATTTAACAATACCTGACAAAGATATATCGCAACCAATCAAATATTTCGAAATTATCCGTAAAGAAATTAACCAGACAAAGCAAACTTGTATTTTGCAATTAATAATCCTCCAATTTGCTAATAAAAAATTAAACAAAAATTTTTCTCGCATATTTCTCGATTTCTCATCACGTGGAAAATCATGAACAGATGTTTAAAGTTATCGAAAAAGTTTCGCGCCTCGAATAATTCATAGGCTCGCTTTTTTTTTTCCGCCAACCAAGAATTTCATTCTTCGCGCGTTTTGGCAGAGCCGGGATTATACTTGAATATTCGCTGTCGTTGGCAACGTGTTTGCGTAACTTTGGCAAAATTCCAGCCGATACCATGGCCTCTGGAGGTTATATTACGCACCTGTCTCGCTGGTAATTTTTTAATCATGACCCGTCATGGTTGCCAACATACCGTCAAAATCAGCCATATTCACCTCGGTTATGTTACATTGTTGCACGTCGCTTTTAATCGTTGGTTATAAATTGAATAAGATAATTGGATTTCAACCAATTGTAGAATTTGTTCAGCAAGTATTAACAGCATAATCTTGTATGTTCTTTGTTATATTATTAATATATGAAATTATTTAAAATGGATCAAGTTTACTGTGTCATTTGCAAAAAGATTAGATTAGACTAGGTTAGGTTAAAACTATTACAATTTTTTGTTTTATTTTTATTTCTAATATTTGATTTGAATTGAAATCATCATAAAATTAAGATATTTAATAAATTAATTAAGATATTTAATAAGTTCTTTGCAAATATACACATATTGAAATAAGATATTAGATTGTATATATGAAAAATGGATTAACATTTAGTTTCATAGTATATGATTTAGACAACAAATAAAACTGTTAATTTGATAGAAATATAAATATTAAAATCTTTATTAAATCCAATTATCATATATTATTATATAAATCTATATGACAAGTAAGTATTTTTGGCAAGTAAATGGAATGAGTTATTCTTTATCCACTTGATTTTATTCTACTAGATACTGATAATTTTTTATAATTCTTAAGGATTTAATTTATTTTTGACATATGTTTATTCACTATTTTAAGTTTTATGTCACTTTTTATGAAACTATTAATAATAGCTAGATTTTTTATTCATAAAAAGAATTTATGATTGTAAAAAATTATTGGTTGTAGAATTTTTATATTAAAAAGTATCTCGTGATACTTTGATAGAAGATAAATTAATAAACGTTTATGACAATCATTTAAAATGATTAAAGACCATTGAAAAAAAAATTGACAATTTATTTTCTTTGATGAATTGATTTTTTTATCGTTTAGTAATTAAAATTGGTATTTTATCAAAACTAGATATGGCATTTAACAATAAGTATAACACGCTTAAGTTTTTTTTAATATTGAAAATTAATTAACCATTCCAGTAATAAATAGTTTAAAGAAAAACTGATGCATCTCGAGACAGATATATTTTAAGGATAATATTTTCACAGATCTTCTAGCATTAATAATCGATTATATCATGGTACAAAACGCAACGACTGATATGAGCGGCAGCTACAAAATAGCACGAGATTAGCGGAAAATCAGCCGCTACCAGAGAATAAATTGAATCGCGCTGATCGAATTAACGAGGTAATTTGTCACGCGACCGATGCGAGAAATTCACGCGTGAACAACACGCTCTCTCTTGTTCCTTCTATCCTCGCTAAATTTTGCTAAGCGAGCCGAACAATTGAACCATTAACCGAGGAGACGTTAGTCATTCAGCTACTCAATCTTCCAGCTCAATCGGCCATTTTCATCCATATTTTAGAGATATTATGCATCTCGGAGGAACTTAAAAGGAACGAGATAATTTTTTGAATCATATCATTTAAATCTTGGAAGGTAATAGATTTTTCTTTTTGGAATTTTTAATGGTAGGAAAAAAAAAATATAAATATATCCTTTTGTAATTATTTTTTCAGGAAAAAATAATTTTTTTTTTACTTGTATATTATCGAATAAAATTATAACATTCTTTTAATATTCATTAATTCGAATAAAAAATGGATATTATTTAGTTTTTGATTCTAGTAATAATCAAGATCCTCTTGCATATGATTGAATAAATTCTAAATTTTATTATGAAGAATTATGATTCAATTTAATTTTATTAAAAATATCAAAATTTATTGAATTTAATTTTGATTTTTAAATTATGGAAAATAACAAGCATTAATTTCCATCGCGAAGAAATAGAATATAACTAAAGTCTTGACTATGAATAAATCATATATTAATGCTAAAATAATCAAGCCCGTTATCTTGATAGAGACTATTTTTACGATTACTAAAAATATCAAACACGTTCGACAAAATTGACTTTTACCAAGATGGAAACGTAATTATACATATTTATTCCTCTCCACTATACAATTATAATTACAATTATCTTGTTATGACGTATTAAAGTATACATTACAGATTTAATCTATTATAAAAAATAATACGATGCAAAAAAAACTTGATTTCGAGCACACGTGGCGAATACACAATGATCCACGACGATTTTTCAATCAATATAGCTATCACGCTCGTAACGCATTTATCCAAACTCTCAAGATCGATCAAAACTTGGCGCAGAACGTTTTTTCTTTTTTTTTTTTTTTTTTTTTTTTTTTCATTTTCATGCTTTGATACGCACGGTAGCGCCTAAAGCGGTCAATTGCTCAAACATCGGTAATTATTGCACAAGAATTACGTAACTAAACAACCTGATCATGACGATACGGAGGAGAGGAGGGAAGTGGAGAAAAAAAAGGCGCAAATTACAGTTACGCCGGGTAATTTGCGTCCATAACGCGTATTACGTGCCATTAACGATCGTTTCGTCTTCTTTCCTCTCGCGCACCCTCTATTTCCGTCTGCATGCCGATCAAGATCGTTTTTCTCGAATAGCGCGAAAACGTCTGCACGCCATAAAGGACGATAATCGATCGCTTCGAGCGTTCTTCGATATTGTAGCTATCAGCATTGCTTTGGAAGCGTTGGAAGAATTTTTTTTAATAAAATAATCCTGCGTTTATTATTATGGTATTAGATAATTATGTAAGAATTGGAGATTTTGTAATTTGAATAGAAAAATTTGATTGAATCAATTAGAAGTAATATAGATATAGTAACGAAGCTAAAATTTATTTATAAAATAAGCATATCCATCAATATCAAATTATATATATATATATCTATAGATATAGAATAATTTCAATTTGAAAATGCAACTATATATAAATAATTTTCATTAATTCTAGGAATATACAAATGGAATATACAAATAACATTGAAATGCAATTATTATTTTACACCGTAAATTTATGGAAAATTTAAATGTCCAAAAATCTTCAAAATATACACGGTGTACCAAAATATCCAAATTTGCATAAGTATCCACGATCTAATCATTACATCCATATATAAATGTTATCATGTACGATAATTATACAATTAATCTTTTCATTAATTCTAGGAATATACAAATGGAATATACAAATAACATTGAAATGCAATTATTATTTTACACCGTAAATTTATGGAAAATTTAAATGTCCAAAAATCTTCAAAATATACACGGTGTACCAAAATATCCAAATTTGCATAAGTATCCACGATCTAATCATTACATCCATATATAAATGTTATCATGTACGATAATTATACAATTAATCTTTTCATTAATTCTAGGAATATACAAATGGAATATACAAATAACATTGAAATACAATTATTATTTTACACCGTAAATTTATGGAAAATTTAAATGTTCAAAAATCTTCAAAATATACACGGTGTACCAAAATATCCAAATTTGCATAAGTATCCACGATCTAATCATTACATCCATATATAAATGTTATCATGTACGATAATTATACAATTAATCTTTTCATTAATTCTAGGAATATACAAATGGAATGTACAAATAACATTGAAATGCAATTATTATTTTACACCATAAATTTATGGAAAATTTAAATGTCCAAAAATCTTCAAAATATACACAGTGTACCAAAATATCCAAATTTGCATAAGTATCTACGATCTAATCATCCATATACAAATGTTATCATATACAATAATTATACAATTAATCCTCAAATATTCAAACACCTTTTATAATCGTATTGGTAATCCTTGGCCAAAATTGTATTTAAATAAAAGTGTTGATCGGTGGCAACGAACTCGAGAAAGTTGGTGGATCACCCCTGAAAGGTTAGGATCGACAGAAGGGTTCGGTGTACGAAGAAAGCCGCGCGTACAACTCGCGCGAAGATAAATTTACACGCGACTTCGCGACGCCGATGCCTGTTCACGTACCCTCGTCTTCTTTTCCCTTCTGCGTTCCCTGTGAAGCGTTCAGCTCGTTTTCTTTTCGCGTGGTCGCAAATAGGAACCCCCCCAAGGCTCCATCATCGTGCTCCGGGCGAAATTAATGGCGTCGGGACGCGGGCGAGCGCGATTCGCCGACGCCTGCTCCTGATTTACCGTGTCAAAGTTCACGGAGGGAGGGAGGTTTGTCGGAATAGCTGTCGTCGGATAAATTCTACGGATCATTTTTTAATTTGCTCGTTAAATTTTTCTAAGGAAACTCTGTGGGATATAAATTAAAATTAATATTATTGTAATAATTATCGGATCATATTTTGCCAAGAAGATAGATCGTTTTTTCTCAGGTTTGAAATTGATGGTACAATATTTTATTAAATTTTAATAGTAGAGAAGAAGAAATTGGTATAAAATAAATTTGTGATAAAAATATTAGAATATCCTTATATTTGGATAATTTTTTTAACCCATAATATATTGTTTTGAATTGGTGATTCGTGTAAGTTTAGAATAACAAATATTTTTTGATGCATTGCCTGCAATAAAAAAAAAAAAAATTACGTACTTAATTTCAGAATTTTATTTGAGAAAATAAACCGGCGTCTCATAAACCAAGCCAAAATCTTTTGCTCTTTTAACAAGATTTGCATACAGTTTCTGTCAGGGATCGTCCTCGAAATAGAGAAGCCGCGGTTCAATGTTTTCGTTTCTTCCAAGAGGCAAAGGAAACTCGTGAATTTTAGGATTGTGGAAGAAAAGCCAGGCGACTTTGTTTCGAGGAAACGAGTTTAATTTCGTACGCAGGCTATCCGTTTCCATCTAATGGGCCCGATCGTTTTCTCGCTTCCGGTTTGCATGACCCACTGATCGTGAGTCAACTTAGACGTTACTATGAAAAGAAACACTATGCGACGTGTTCTTCGGCCACGTTCCCGGGAAACAAACATCTCCAATGGGTACTTCATCTCCGAGTTTATTATTAAACATACGGTTAAATGTTTAACATCCGCTCGGTTACCGGCTGAAAATGTTGAATCGAAAATTTTTTTAATTATTGCAATTTAAACATGTGGCAAACCTCTTGAAATTTTTGATAAAGGATAATATTAAATTTTTATCACAGTTTCTACCGTAATAATTTTAATTTAAAATCTTGACTCACGCTTCTCTGAAATTGTTTCCAATTCGTTTTTCGTGATTTTTTTTTTTTTTTTTTTTCTTTTCTGAAACTCAATTTTTGAGAAAGTGACAATCACAGTTTTCATCGTCACCGATCCTTGACCCCTTTAAGCACGTTCCCAGCTTCGTCATTGGGACAGCTGTTTCTTGCCAACGTCGGGATTTTTCCGACCCGTTGGCGCCCTTTCCGTGAAGGGTTTGTCAAAAATTAACGAACAATTTTTTTTTTTTTTTTTTTCTTGAAATAAAATCTCTAGAAACACGTCACCGAGATGATGATTTGGTCCTGGAACACCTCTTTTGACAAGAAACATTTTATTTTAATCCAATTCCCAGTATTATATTTGATTTTATGTAGTCTGTATATCTTCTTCTTTTTCTTTTTTTACCGATTCATTTAAAATTCAATTAAATCATTTCCTAGTTATCTATCGATTTATCTATACTCCAGATTTCATTATCAAAAAATCAAAAGTTGAACGACACCAAGAATTTGAATATTGACGTAATGAATTAAATAATTCTCTGACTCTTCCTCATCTCGATCTCTTTCGTAATACCCACCATCGAAATACAAGCGCAATATCGCAAATGGGAAACGTTGTGAGGCTCGAAGGGCGGTTCTCGTGTTCCCAGGCGGTGGTATTCGTTTGCATACCACTCGTACAAGTTGCCACAGAAAATTACAGGTCTGGTATCTAGTGGAAATCATGGTTATCATCGAGGAGAATCAACAGTCAGAATCGCTGTTGGCAAGGTGACGCTTTTACTCCACAGCTTGTGATGCTTGTCTATCCATTACGTGATTCGTAACGAGATGGAAATATTCATGGGTGAAGTGTTTTTCTTTTTTTTTTTTTTTTTTTCTATTCCTCCTATTCTATTCATTGCAGACTTGGTAATTTTCATGTAAACTTTTATAATAGAATCTTGAAGCTTTTAAATGAATCCTTCTCTTACTTTTCTTGGATAGAGAATATTTCCGTTTGAAAAATATTTTATTGTTGTACGAGTTGCTTGTATAGGTAAATTATATCGGTTTCATTATTTCTTTTATTATCTTGAGTGAAATATTGGGAAATTATATCTAATATTGAGACTTTCAAGTACTATAAAAAAGTAGGTAATTTATAGTAGAATTTGGAAATCTTTATCGGCTATTGTAAAACAAATAATATATTCAATAAAGATGCGATATGTACTAATAAGTTCGTCTTCAGTTTAGAATGATGTAATGCAATGAAATAATAATAAGTTTTTAAATGAAATATATCGTAAAACTTCGACATTGAGATGCAGCATATTTATTACTCTGTGTGCGATAATATAGTCGAATTTATGCATTCGTCGAGAATCCGTGAAATGTGCCAAAACCCACGCAAAACTAGCCTACAGGTATTAAAAATCAAATATTGAAGGTGTTTAAGATTCGTTTTATTTGAATTCTCACAAAAAACTAAGTTTAAATCTTGGTTTTATAGAAATTAACATGTTTAAAAAAATGGTATTTCGATAAAAAGATTAAAAATTTACCAGAAACTTTTTTCAAGACATTACGATTGAATACGATATTATATAACATCGTGTTTAAACGCAAAGTGGATCGAATCATTATTTAAATAATACTTTTTTTTTTTTACCAAATTTTCCTTGTCATTTAAGATTTTTTTCTCTGAATTAGCAAGTTTCGATGATTACCCATCTATCAAGTTAAGAATGGCTGATACTCTTAAAAAAAAACACAAAATCTTGATGTCAAGAGATCTATGGCGGCAGTTATCAATCGATAAAAGTCGTCATTCGTGTATATTCCAGCCTTTCTACCCTACCACAGACTTTTCATATTATTTCCAACGAATAGTCTCCAATGATAGACATTCTATCCCTTCTTATGGTTGCTTTGCATCATGCTAGACACAGCCCTCCAAGTTCGAAGGTCACGGCAAAACTACCGCTCATCCAGATACGCCACCACTATTCGTATCTACGCGCCCAGCTGCTGTAAGAACCGAGCTGCTTTTTCATTGGTCACGCTATCGCTAAGTGGGGGAGGCTATATAGTGCGGTGCACCGGGCGCCGCAGTCAGTGTTGCGCGTACTTCGTCTTAGTTGTGTTCTTGCTTTCCGTTTTTACTTCTCTGATATTTCGTCTCTTTGATTTTTCATTGCTCTTAAAGTTGTTCAAATCAATTTGTATTCCGATGTATATAGTGTTAGAAAAGTATTTTGTTCTAATAGAAATTTGTTAGATAGAAAACAGAGTGGATTTATTTGAGTATTTGATTCGTCAATATCGAAAGATGACAGAGAAGTACGGTAATTGTCCGCGTTTTTAGAATTCGTTTGATTGTGTGACAGAAAGAAGACAGTGAATCGTTGAATTTGTTAGTATATGAACACAAATACACGCGTGAACTGTTCGAATGAGTGAAAGATCATCAATGCTGGCACGGAACAACGTGTTGCGTGCCAATTGAAAGCCAAGATAACGAAAGAAATCGATCGAACGAGGGAACACGCTTTGGTACTGCCATGACAATGGTCGTCAACAAGATCAACATGTCGTCGTACTCCGCGCCACGACGCACTTTCTTCTCAGGTCTACATAGCAAGGTAAACACGCATATATTGCAAATAGTTTTTTCCTTGAACTTTATACGTACAGTTCGGTAACCTCGATATTTCGAACAATGCGTCGAGAATCATAAGCAATAGTAAAATTTCGCGAATTTAGTTCGATCCAAATTCAAATATCAAATCAATTTTTTCGTATTGTATAATAATATCTATATATAGTTCACGAAAACGTTATGTACACTCTGCACGCCATCTTTAGCGACACACTTCACGCCATTGTTTTAACCTCTCAATATCGATGACTGTAATTCGTCTTATATTCAAGTCATATCTATTCCGAATATCTTCATTTAAATTGTTATACTAAGCTTATTATCTAAAAGCACGTGCTGAACTACGTTATAAATTAAAAGACAAAATAAGCATAATTTGTCATGTCACAATTCGCGATTCAAAGTAAAATATATACATACATATATATATATATACGTAATTTTCTTTTTCGCGCCACTTAAAGTATACTAGAATCTCATTTATTGTAACCTTACTTTTCAAACGAAATTTTAGTTTGTAAGTGATAAAGTGAATTCTTGTTAATTGAAATCATTTGTCAAAATATGAATTACAATTGAAATTCCAAGCATTAAAAGGAAATCAATAATCTTTTATTACATAAATTGTTCATCGATCAATCTAGATATAAATGAAATTCTATTAGACTCGTAAAATTAATATGTGATACAAATAGTCGTATAACCTGTGCTATCCTAATCGTAGTCAAGAACGGTATTCGAGTATAGCCAACTATTTCTACGGTAGTTTCTCGATTTAACGATAAGCAATGTCCCTGATTCTCGGTTCCTTGGCCTGCTCATCAGATTAACGGTTCTACCAGTTACGTCGTTCTTCGAAAGAACACTTGTGAAGTATAGTTTGGTTAGAAGTGTTTTTATTCAAATCTATTTTTTCCATTCGAATAAATGAGAGGTTAATTACGCGAAATTATTATTTTTTATTAATATTTGCATTCTTAGAAGAAATTCATATCTAATTGATAAAAATTTATTTGAAAATTAATAAAAAATCAAATTTTTCCAAAAATATCGAATAAAAATAAGGTAAAATTTAACATTGAACATCAGATGACAATTATAATTTCTCTTCATACACAGAATGTTTTTAAAATTCGACGGAAGTAAAGATATTCGTTATATTTTTCTAGTTTGATCTGTCTGAACGTAGTTTTATATCAGAACCTTTCTAAGCTATCTAACCTATCTAATGAAAATAGCATCGACAATGATATTG